GAGATGCCCCTCTGCTGTTAGACTGAATCTCGCCGACTTCAATTTGATCTTGTGTGCCTCTTTGTGATCATCTGACAGCTTCTCTTCTTTTAGGAATGTAACAATTGCGTCCATCCAGCTTGGTCCCATGTCCACGCATATTGCTTCATGCTCTGTAGATAGTGGCTCGACGCTCGGGCCTGACAAATAGTCGATCATTATTGTCCTTGCTTTTCCAGGTTGTACTGCACTGGCTAGGTAGGCTAATGCATCGGCGTGGCTGTTATCATCTCGGCTAACCTGAAGTAGTCGGCAGTTCTGAAACAAGGCTGCCAGCCTGATGACCTCCTTTATGTAGGCCGACATCCGTTCATCTTGGGCAGCAAATTCGCCCGTTGTCTGGTTGACGATGAACTGGGAGTCGCAGAAGACTATTACCTCGTCTGCCTCTACTGCTACTGCCAGCTTCAGTCCTGCAATCAATGTTTCATATTCTACTTCGTTGTTTGAGGCTTTGAACCCCAAACGAATAGACTGTTCCACTATTTGTCCATCTGGAGATATCAGCACTACTCCTGCCCCCGCTCCTTGTCGGTTTGAACTCCCATCAACGAACAGTCGAAAGGAGTCGCCGATGTAAATACTACAGGGTCTGAGTTTTTTCTCTTTTCTTTGTTCTTTTGCCTTTGGTTGAGCTTCTCCTTACTTGTTTGGACATCGTTTATCTTGGCTCAACGGATCCCAATGTTCGATAGATTCTGGCGTGAACTCGGCTACGGAGTCGGCTAGAACCTGGCCTTTGATTGCAGTCCTTGGCTTGTACTCCAGGTCATACTGGCCTAGGGTGACTGCCCACCTAGCTATTCTTCCTGTTAGGTCTCCTTGTTGCAGTAAGGACTTCAAGGAGTGCTTTGTTAGCACCACAATTTTGTAGGCCTGGAAGTAATGGTTCAACTTCTTTGAAGCCATTACTAAAGCTAGTGCCAATTTCTCTAAGGGTAGATACCTCGTTTCTGCATCGGCTAGGGTTTTGCTTACATAGTGAACAACCCTTTGCTCCCCTTTTTTTTCTCGAATTAGTACTGCACTTATCGCATGTTCTGAAACAGCTAAGTACAGGAACAGCTCCTCCCCAGGTTCTGGATTTGAAAGAACAGGAGCTGTGGTTAAGTATTTCTTTAGGTCGGCCAAAGCAGCTTCGCATTCTTCGGTCCACAGGAAGTCTGTGGCTTTCTTCACCAAGTTGAAGAAAGGTTTGCACTTATCTGAGCTTCTGCTGATGGATCTATTTAGGGCTGCGGTCCTTCCAGTTAGCATCTGCACCTGTTTTGCCGACGTTGAGCTCTTCAACTCTAGAATGGCCTTGATCTGATACCAGGTATCCTAGAAACTTATTAGATCTAACTCCAAATACATACTTCGATGCATTGAGTCGGAGCCGATATGTTTTAAGGATTTTAAAGACTGCTTTTAGATCAGCGAGATGACCCTTAGGCTCCTTGGTCTTAACGACCACGTCGTCGATGTAGACTTCTACTGTTCGGCCAATCAGGTGTTTGAATATTTTGGTTACCAGCCTTTGGTAAGTTGCTCTTGCGTTTTTCAACCCGAAAGGCATTACTCTGTAACAGTACAGGCCTTTTGGGGTGATGAACGTGGTCTTCTCTTCGTCTGGGGGGTACAAGGCTATCTGGTGGTACCCCTTGTAGGCGTCTAGGAAGCTCATTCTTCCATGCCCTGAAGTGGCATCTACTAGCTGGTCAATCTTGGGTAGAGGAAAGCTGTCTTTGGGACAGGCTTTGTTGAGGCTGGTAAAGTTTACGCAGACCCTCCATTTACCGCTCTTTTTCTTTACCACCACTGTATTGGATAGCCATGCCGGGTAGTGAACTTCTATAATGGCCCTGGCCTCCAAAAGTTTGTTGACTTCTTCCTCTACTGCTTCAACGTGCATCAACGTCGGTCTTCTGGCTCGTTGAATTACAGGTTTGGCCGACCTGTCAACATTCAGTTTGTGGCAAGTGACCTCGGGGTCAATGCCAGGCATTTCGTAAGGTGTCCAAGCAAACACCTCAATATTTGCTCTCAAAAAAGCTTCCAACTCTTTTTCCTCTTCTTCGGCTAAGCCCGAGCCGAGAAGAAAGAAGAGTTCTTCATCCCCATCCTGGACGAGGATTTTCTTCAGTGCCTCTGCGCTCTTCTCGGCTGGCTCCTTGCCGACGTCTTCTAGGACTTCCACGTCTTCATTTTCAATTTCTGCCTTTTCTAGCACTCGTATGCTGCAGGTGGATTTCATTGCTGCCATGGAGCAATTCTTTGCCTGCAGCTGATCGCCTCTGACTTCCTCTATCCCATGCTCTGTTGAGAATCGCAATAGTTGATGCAATGTTGAGGGAACTGCCTCCATTGCATGCAACCATGGCCTTCCCAAGATGATGTTGTAAGGGGAGGGTGTGTCGATTATGGTGAACTCTGTTGTTACCTTTCTGGTGCCCGCTTGCACCTCCAAGCTGGTTGTTCCCAGTGGCCATGTTGGCGTTCCATTGAACTCGACCATTGGGCTATTGGATTGCTCCATATCGTCTGGGTGAAGGCCGAGCTCCTTGTAACATCGAACGTACATGATGTCGTAAGAGCTGCCTTGGTCAATAAGGATGCGTTTCACTTGGCACTCCTCAACCTGGAGGGATACTACCAAGGCATCATTATGCAGATGCTGGACCATCTCAAGGTCGGTTTTTGAAAAGGACACTACTGGTCCTTGGCGCTCCTCTGCCCGATGTCTCTTCTCCCTGACTTCGTAGACATGTTGCAGGTGCTTCACCTTCTAGGTCTCCCCCCTAATTTCATTCTCACTGACCTTCGAGTGAATCACATTGACTAGCCGAGGTCCTCCTGTCTGAGGTTGTGGTGCTGGGGGAGGCGGAGCTGCTGGCGCCTGAGGCAATCTTGTCTGTTCTTCCTTTGTCCTAGCCTCATCGATGAGGTCTCTCAGGTGGCCTTGCCTCACCAGTTCTTCCATGTGCGTTTTCAGGGCTCTACAACCCTAAGTCGTGTACCCATCTTCATTGTGGTAAGCACAATGTCTGCCAATGTTCCTTCCCATAAATTCTCCTGGTGCCTTTGCTGGTGTTCTGAAATAGGGTTGGTTTCGAATCCGGTCCAGGACTTTGGAAATCGGGATTCAAAACACAGTTGCTACTGCCTGTGTGGCCCTCAACTCTGTTTTTTGTTTGCTCGATCCATTATTACCTCGACCTCGCTTCGGTGAGCTATTTCCTTTCTCTTGTTTTATCTCCCTAGTTCCCGACGTGTCTTCTTCGGCTCTGGCGTACTTCTCGATTCTCGCCATGAGTTCTTCCATACTTTTTGGCAATGTCTTTGCCAAAGACTTTCATAGTGGACAGTTGTCTTTCAGGCCGTTCTTGAAATATATGACCGCCACCTCATGATTGCATTTGGGTATTCGGTTGAACACCTCATAGTATCTTTTTGCATAGGCCCTAAGGCCTTCATCATTGCTGATTTTCAGAGCCATCAATGCATCCACCCTTAATGGCTGTAGCTTGTTTGTCACGAACGTGGCCACGAACATCTCGGCCAGGCCTTCCCAATTCTTCACACTTTCCTTTGGTAATTTGTAGAACCAATCTGATGCAATCTCCCCAAAAGATGAGGGGAACACTTTGCAGAGCAACAACTCGTTCCTACTATACAATGCCATTGAGTTCAAATATAATCCAACGTGGAAGTTGGGGTCTGATTTACCATCGTATATTTGAAACCTCGGCATACTGAATCTCTTCGGCACCTCAAACCTGTCCAATTCCACCGAGAATGGTGTCCTCGGCTTATCTGGGGAGGTTACCTCAGCGTCGACATTATATTGCTTCCTCTTAAGGTGATCTCTTAAGTCCTCCTTCGTCCGCCCAGGAGCTCGGCTATCTCCTGCTTTCAGTCTTTTTGGTGCGCTACTTTCAGCTTCGTGGTGAGTTCTTTTCGACCCTTCTCCATGAGTTGTGTCGAAGCACAGTGTCTGCCCCTGAACATGACGATGTTCTTTGGGGTCTGCCTCTTTTGTGCGATGCGTCCTCCGTGATTCTTCTCTTCTCGACTATCTTCATCCGGCTTCCCTAGAAGGTTGGTGAGAGTATTTTTCGCTCCCGTTGTGCTGAGGAGCTACAGGGATTGTTTTCTGCCCTTCTTTCTGGGCATTGGCCGCTGGAATCGGTGTGTCCTGTAGCGGGAATGGTGGCTGCATGACGCTATTTTGCATCATGAAATTGACGACCGATTGCAAGTCTGCCAATTTGTTTGCCATCTCTTTTACCGCTTCGTCCCTCCGTAGGCACCTATCCTTCCAAACCGGGAGGTCGTCCTCGTTGTAGTACCTGGTTTGATCAGGTTTCTTTGGTACGTCGCCAGTCTGGCCGACATCTTTTACTCCGTGAGCTTGCTCATGAGTTTCTGCGTTGGACTTGTCTCCTTCGCCATCAAGGTCTATAGGTCTCCCAACCCCAGTAGGAGTGTCGTCCCCAATCTTTTCCTTCTGTCCGTTACTGGCCATCTATTCTACTTTCTTTCCCACAGACGGTGCCAAATTGTGTGAGTGATTTTCCGATCACACTGCCCAACTCAGTATTCAGCTGGAGAACACTGGTAGAATAGATGACACCTGGCTAACCTATAACAGAAAGAGAAGATTCCGGCGGTGGTTCATCCACCCGGGGGCACTCCGACGATCAAGTCAGTATATCTCTCGAAGATAATCAATAGTGCTAAACTCACTAGCTTGAGCATAAAAAGCATATCTTAGACCCATGTGGGTGCCTCCCTTTTATAGCCAACACAATCCTAGTCCCAATAGGAGCCTAGCTCAAATGGACTTAGGATTGCTGCTAATCTTGGACTCCCAGTAGAATTAGGATAAACTCTCTAAGAGTCTCATCTTTACCCAAACTGAAGTCCTCTCCCATTCTAGGACTCTTGTCCCTTATCCGCTTATCTCGGATTCCGGTATCTTCGCAGATAACCTCGGCCTTGTCGAGATCACCTCGGCGTCATGTCCTGGACACGTGGCACCTTGGCTAACACGTCGGCGTCACCTTAGCCATGTGTTGGTACTCAGAAAATATATCCCCACACATACCATAACAAAGGGCTCGCCTTCTCTGAGAAAGAGAGGGATGCCCATTATCTGCATGGTCTTCGTTTCCTAGTCATCGTTGCCCCAAAATCTTCAGGTTATAAAAAATACACCGCCTCTACTTTTGGATTCTCCATTTTCATTTTTGTGTGTTTTTAAATTTTCCTCGTCTTAGAAAAAAGGACTAATGATGGATATTTTTCTTGTTACTTTACCTACCAGATCAAGAAATTGATGCACAATATCTGCTAGTATCAAGTCCCACTGCGGAGGTACATGGCCATGATGGATATCCAGGTATGCCGTTCATGCTATTCAGTAAACTTTTGGACCATGAAGCTGATGCCGACTTCAATTATTTAATAAATCTAATTGATACTAATAATGCCACTAATGCTTCTCAAATTGTCACTTCAATTTTTTTTAATGTCATTTATGTCTCTTTATACAAGATGTTTTTGTTTGTTTATAATGGTCCTGTATTTTGTGAAACCATGAAAAACTTTCCCCTTTTTACTATCCCTTAGGTGGTTTTTGGCTATCCCGGTGTATTGAAAAGGCTGACGTGTCTTACTTTGAGGTAATGAGACAACCAAGTAGGTCAATTATAACATAGATACGTCAATTAAAAAGATGATCCTTTTTGTTTTCAGTGTTGGTCATGCAAAACAATATATAATATAGTAGCTTTTTTTAGCTCTTTCAATCTAAGTAATTTAATTGATTGGAATAACAATGAACCTCTAAGTCAAGTACATAGGCAGATTTTCTTCACAACACTATATAAATTATTGTAGACAAGTTGGTTCCGTAAAAAATGCTTTCTTGTTGTAGTGAAGGTAATTAAGAGATCTCCAACTTCGTAATTTAGGATAATTAAATTGACACATCCATGTTACCCACAAGTCAAACAAGTTCTAAACGTAATGAGATAAAATTGATCTTGTTCCTCATCTAAAGTAGATTTTAAGTCTCACAAATAAATTGTCAAAATTCGTTTGTGATATTGGTTTATGTGATGCTGAATAATTTTTGATGAAGTTGGGGTATACAATCTTCTTGTGAGGTGGTGAAATGGAGGGTAGGCTTTTCAAACTATCATGTCACATGTCTAAATGTGAGTATGGTTAATTTATTATTGTTCTTTAAAAAGACTCTACATGTGAGTTTTAATTCCAACACCATTTAAGAGTGAGATTCATATACTTTTGTAATAGAAATTTTATTGAATTAAAAGGTTGATAAACTAACTAGAAATCATTTGGACATTTGATGGTTTGATTTGAGTTGAGACTCAACATCATTTCTGATAGTTTCACTTAAGTGTCTAAAAAACTAATTCTGAAATAGGAAATTTTAATATCTCACTCTCTCTCTCTCTCATGAGTAATATAGGATATAGTCACTCCTATATTCCTAAATTACCAACATGTGCCATGTATTGAATGAATTATTAGTGTGATTTATATCTAAGGTACAAACACAAATGCATTGACAATTTTATATTTAATTTTTTAGCATTGTTATTCAAGACAAAAAATTAGATTCACTTTTTAAGTTCAATGATGTGGCAATTAATTAGGATATTAAATGTAACACTTTATCTCATATTTTCTCTAATTATTAACCAATTATATCACTTACACATCATTGGGTCTAGCCTTTTGGTGATAAAAAACATTATTGGCATCCAATGCTTGTTATGCCTTCAAGAACAATTGCACTATCATTCCTTTTATTGTCTGCCTCTTTTTTTTTTTTAAAATTTTTTTAAAGAAGCAATTTATTTGTCACAAGCAACTTTAATAAACGATAAATAACTAAAAAGTTAGAAGTAAGGGTGGATAGTTTGCACCACTTCATGGTGTATATATATTGAGAGCAGAAACATATGCTTCAATCTGTTGAATTTTTTGAAAATGGGATGTTGACACAGTTAGGATAGGACAACATTTGTGTGTGTGTGCATGTGCACATATAATCATGATAAATCCTCTCATTCTAATCCTAGTTGGCTTGTTCATTAATGTAAAATTCAAATACAATTGATGTTTTTTGTCTACCAATTTGGTGGTCTATTCAACTTATATTGAGATGGTGTTTTCTATGGCAGGTCCTAACTATATTGGTGATAGAGAATTTGGAAAGGAATGTGGATTCTATGGTTTGGGTCCTGAAATCCTGTACTTCATTAGCCTTGAGACTCATTTATGTTTTGCAAGATTTATATTTTTTGGTTGTGTGACTCATTTAGAAAGTTAGATATGCATAGTTTTGGATGGTTTAAACTTTTTGTACAGTTTAGAACTTAAGGATATAGTTTTTGAATGTTTGGAATGTATAGACAATTGTTAAATATTTATAATTTATGGATATAGATTCTTTTTCGTGTTTCAAACAATATAATGGTAGTTGATTGATGTTTTGTGATGCTTGTTTGTAATATTCGTTAGATTGTACAAAATTGGTCAAATAGAACTTGCTGAATTTGAAAAAAAAAATATATATATA